CTAATATTAACAATTATTTTATACATTATTACTTCATTTTAAATACACATACGTGCACCAATACATTAAATTTATGTTCCCTGAGTAAGTACTTTATTATTTGTAAAAGTAGGTGCTTACGTCTCAATGTTTCAATATTTTATCTCACCAAATGTTGACCCTAATTTAAAAATAGAATACTAAAACATGAACCCTTTGTATTTTTATTTGCGTGGCAAAAAATACCATTCAGATATGTATATGACATGCTACTTCTTATGTGTAAGAAGTATCAATTCCATGTCCATACAATATTTCGTTAAATACATTTCCAATATAAAAAACTAACCAAAACTACATCCATCCTATGTTCAAAAAATGTACACAGCACATAAATCCATATCCTAGTAATATTGAAATATTTTCAAAGAATATTCTATGGACCGCTGTGTTATGTATTTGTGCCCTCTGGGTGTGTAACATAAGTTTACGAATTCCACGAGTTTAAACAATCCTTGAATTTCATTTTCCACCTTTCCCTCCATATGAAAATCCATATTTTTTCTCTGGGTGACATCCCTTCGCGAGCGTGATTGTATCTCCGCGAGAGGGAAATTGCGCGAGTGCAATTTGTTTAATCAACAATTTCGATTTGGTCCACAGGCCAGGTCGTGATAACGCAATTTTCCGGCATTTACGCAGTCGTGTACCTTTCCGGCTGTTGATGCAAAGTGTAATTCAATGTCGATTGGCCCCATTAGCGACGATTAAAAGGGATCGACGCGAAATCACGATCTTGATCTTGAGCCTCCACCCTAACCTCAAAAGGCTTCTCTCAAGACCCTGCAGTAATTTCATCCTCATTAGATACTATGCTTCTATTACGTAATGAATCTAAAATCAGCAGATTAATCCCAGGCAACCCATGAAGTGGAATATGTTTATTATAATATATTTATTTATATCGTTTATTATAATATAGTATATTAATCGCCTAAATTAGGTCTATAGGTATAGCAAATGTATATCGTATATCATCCACCTAAAAAAATATCCAAAGGATATATATAAATATCTATGACCATAGATGGAAATTATATATCCACTATTGATCTACGAATATCTATATCTAAGAATCCCGTTGCCCTTATCATACAATTCTGATAGAGTTCTTTGCCTTGGACAATTCCGGGAAAACATCAAATAGCCCCAGATTTAAATTTCGCTATGCCTAATAATCCAAAAAAGTTGCAATATATTCCTTATTGATTATCTTATCGGTGCAAGGAATACAGGAAATCCGTTGTCTTTTTCAGACTAAGCCTAATAATAAAAAAAAAATTGCAATATATTCCTTATTGATTATCTTATCGATGCAAGGAATACAGGAAATCCGTTGTCATTTTCAGGCTAAGCCTAATAATCCAAAAAAGTTACAATATATTCCTTATTGATTATCTTATCGGTGCAAGGAATACAGGAAATCCGTTGTCTTTTTCAGGCTAAGCCTAATAATAAAAAAAAATTGCAATACATTCCTTATTGATTATCTTGTCGGTACAAGGAATACAGGAAATCCGTTGTCTTTTTCAGGCTAAGCCTAATAATCCAAAAAAAATTGCAATATATTCCTTATTGATTATCTTATCGGTGCCAGCAATACAGGAAATCCGTTGTCTTTTTCAGGCTAAGCCTAATAATCCAAAAAAATTGCAATACATTCCTTATTGATTATCTTATCGGTGCAAGGAATACAGGAAATCCATGGTCTTTTTCAGGCCAAGCCTAATAATCCAAAAAAATTGCAATACATTCCTTATTGATTATCTTATCGGTGCAAGGAATACAGGAAATCCGTTGTTATTTTCAGGCAAACCCGACGGAATTCGCAGCATTAGACGATTACGAGGAAGAATCGAGCAGCGCCGGATACCACACCGACGAAAGCTGCAGCCCGACCCCGGAGCCAGGCATTACAGAGGTCAGCATCTCGCTGGAGAACTTCGAAAAGCTCTCCATCGAGGATCCCACCGTCGAGAGGCTGACCGAAAGGTACGCTGCTCTCTACGGGCAGGCTCAATTGCACACTTTGGACGCTCTCGATGCCTTGGAACCACTTAAGGCCGCTTCCGAGCTCAAAGCCAAGATCCTCTACTCAGTGGTCGTGGTAAGTACCGGGTGCATCGCTTGCCTTCGGCTGACGAGGTCCTTCCCACTGTTTCTAACTCTGCACAACACCCCATGCACAAATTTTCCATCGGCGAAATATTGGCCCTATAGTGAAAATGGTTGGCCCAATCTTGGCTGCCAAGCCTGACCCATTGTGTAAATGACAACATCAGCGGAGCATTGTCCGATCTAATTTGCCTTCATAGTTCTTAACCCTTTCGTTACCTTGGACGAGATATCTCGCGACCCAATACTGACCGATCAACGCTTTCGACGAGATTTTGATTCCCAGACAGCATAACATATTCATAGAATATAGAAAAGGAGTTGGAAAATATTCCTCGTATATATTCGACATTGGAATAATATTTTAAGTACAATATTAGATTATGTATATATGATAATGTTTCCCAAATATAGTCCAAATATTTAATGTTTTATAAATATATATATAAAATATTGGTTTAGCAATGTCATTTGAAATATGGAATACTATTCTATAAATACTACAAGTGTTAGAAAAGGTTTGTAATATAACATTGAAATACTAAAGTTAACATTTATTTTATACATTGTCACATACACCTTGATTTAAAAAAATCAAAACATGCTAAATATTTCGTGCGATAATAATAATATATTATTACTTTATTTTGAATACACATACCTGCTCCAATACTTTAAATTNACAGGTATCTAAATAATTAAAACTAAATATGTCATTGAGATTGTCAACAAATATTTTAGATATCTTCGAATGAAATCCACGAGAAATCTTAAACAATCTGTCGGTTGAGATATTTAACAAATTTTGCAAAAAAAAATTGGATAGAAATTATTCTGTGCTACTAGGGTATATACGTTAATGATGCAAATGGGTTAAAATCCATGATATCCTGAGTGATATCCTCGGTACGCCCACCAGTACATCCGGAAGAGTCGGATTGCACAGTCCATCCGGAATTCCTATAAGTTAGCCAAAAGGAGCGTTCCCTAGGTCCCTTCGGTAAAATCTCGTCGACGTTGCAGGCTGTTAAGATTATACGAGGGCCGTCAGTATCGGGAAGCTGCCAGTTTCCTCATGAGGCTCCCCACGTACACCCTGAGGGCTGCCCTGCCGGACATTCCCATAGATTTGCTGATCGAGACGCTACCCCATAGCCTAGCCATGCTGGAGGCGCTCTACTCGAGGCTGACCGAGCTCAACCTCGAAGACCCCAAGACCCTCAAACTTGACCAAGTGCTCTGGAAGGCCGTATATCTAATATCGACCACGCAGGATCACTTCCACCTCAGGATCTGGAGCAAGCTCCTCGGCGCGATAACTCGAATTGCCCCCAACTCGAGGAACACCTTGGTTACCAGGAGGAGGGCCCTGGAGAGGGCCGTGGAAGGACTCGGCAAACACGGATTGGTCCCTTCCAGCCAGAATTCCCATTCCGGGAGCCCGAATGCCCAAAACCTCGTGCCCTTGCCCAACGCCCTGAAGGAGGAACTGGAGGCCAGAAACGAGGCCTATAAACTTGCACTTCACAAGATTGAGAACTTCGGGAAACATGGGGCACATAAAGGTACCTGGGTTGGTTTTACTAAATATGTTGTGGGGACTTCTGTTACTAACGATGTGCATGTGGTACAAGGTACAGGTAAGTCCGAGATAGTTGGACCATGTTTTTTTAAAGTCATTTTTTCTGAAACTTCGCAATGTCTAGGATTTGGTATATTTTTGTATAATATGTATAAATGACCTTGAGCAATTGTACGTACTTCTCCAGCTGTTACACTAATCACACTTGAAGTTATGATTTTTTCTTTTTTTTTACTCGGTAGTCCATCTATCCCGGGGGTACTCAGGTTAGATGGACCTCCTAGGGATTGATGGACCTCTGGTATACGTTGCTAAATCAGGGTGTAACACAAGAAATACATGTTATCAAAGGTATGAACATTGTTTATTTCAAAGTATAGAGTTATAAACTGCTTGAAAAGTGATTAGTATAGAGTTATAAACTATTTGAAAAAGGATAAGTAAATTTGATAGTCAATATACTTAGAAAATATAGGTAGTCTGATTTATATTCACATCCATCCATCCATTCATCCATATGTCCATTTATATAGAAAGTAAAGCCCTAATAGGAGATATGGTCCGCCTATCCCAGGTTTTTTCAAGTAGTCCATCTATCCCAATTGTCAGGGATAGATGGACCAGTTTCCCGTCCAGACAAACAACGCTACCGGCATGCCATTTTAGGTCAAGATTGTACTTAAGTATACACTTGAGTTATAGGATTGATCTTACGTCGAAATCATTTAAACTAACTTAACCACATATCAAATAAATCCAGTATAAAATATTTTTCAACTCACCAAAAGAAATAAACAAAGTTTTCTTCTAAAATATGCATGAAACTCATGAGCAAAACTAAGCGTGGTTCCGTCTACTCAAGAAGAACAACTTCAGACAACGACTGCAGCACTGCTGTGACACAACAGCCAAATATTCGACTAGTCCGTCTATACCGGTGGTCCATATATCCCGGATTTACCCTATATTTGTTTGTTACCCTTACCCAACGCCCTTACCTAACGATGTGCATGTGGTACAAGGTATATATATTTGTTGCCCTTGCCCAACACCCTGAAGGAAGAACTGGAAGCCAGAAACGAGGCCTATAAACTTGCACTTCACAAGATTGAGAACTTCGGGAAACATGGGGCACATAAAGGTACCTGGTTTGGTGTTACTAAATATGTTGTGGGGACTTCTGTTACTAACGATGTGGTACAAGGTACATATATTTGTTTGTTACCCTTGCCCAACGCTGTGATGATGCATTTTAAATTCCAAATGTCTAATTAGAAAATGTCCTTATTTGCAGATCAAGGGGTCCAGGCAGCCTCCCATCAGCGACAATTATCCCTGAGATACAGCGAAGTCCAGCAGCGACTGATCGACAATCAGAGCCTGTTGAACACCCTGGAAAAGGCGTCCAATCTCACCTTGGAAAACCTTCTTGACGAATTAAAGCGGCGAGTGGAACAGGACAAGGAAGCCTTGAGACAATGGACAGCCTTAAGGAAGACCAACGTGTGTCCAAACGCGAAGAATCCAGCTCTGGCGGCAGGACTCTTGCAATTTTCCCGAGGATGTGGCCTTGCTCTGCAGCTCATGAGCGAAGACAATGTAGAGGTAACTTCACGACCCTTGTCGATCTCTCTTCACGAACTTGGGCCAAATCGCACGGATTTGCCACAATGCTGCTTCCCCTTGTTCTCTTTTGAACGTCATTCCTCTCGGATTCCCTTCTCATTAAGGCGGCAGGACTCTTGCAATTTTCCCCAGGATGTGGCCTTGCTCTGCAGCTCATGAGCGAAGCCAATGTAGAGGTAATTTCACGACCCTTGTCGATCTCTCTCCACGAAGTTGGGCCAAATCGCATGGATTTGCCACAATGCTGCTTCCCTTTGTTCTCTTTTGAACGTCATTCCTCTCGGATTCCCTTCTCATTAAGGTTGTAGGACTCTTGCAATTTTCCCCAGGATGTGGCCTTGCTCTGCAGCTCATGAACGAAGACAATGTAGAGGTAACTTCACGACCCTTGTCAATTTCTATCCACGAAGTTGGGCCGAATCACACGGATTTGCCACAATGTTACCTCTCATTGTTCTATTGTGAACGTCATTCGTCTCGGAGTCAAACTTCTAGACGGTTCGATCAAACACCCTTAAAAAAAATTAATTTTTGATCAAAAATGAAATTTCGTGAGTTTCAGGACCTACTTTGGGGCCTCCATGTTCACGTGGTAAAATATGAAACGAATCGGTACACCCAATTTGGGGAATACTTTCTCCAACGATGAGTTCTCAGATATGTATAGGCTGACTCTTTCATATCCTTTTAACAATCTCCCTTCGTGAGCTTGAACCAAATTGCACGGGTTTGCACAATATTGCTTCCCGTTTCCTCTTCTGCACGCCATTCGTCTCGGATTCCCTTCTCGTTAAGGAAACTCGATTCTGCCGCCCTGCCTAAGGGAAACGCAAGTTGATCTGCAATGTTAATTTACATACAATCAATAAGCGTCTATACAGAGCCCAGGAAATCTGAAGAAACTATTAGGAATGCTGCGCTCCAACAAGGAAGTTATCCCAGGTCGATCTTTCCGATTTGATTTCTTTTATAATATGTTATAGTAGACTAAAAACTAAGCGACACATATTTTTTTATATCTGCCATTAAACACTTTAAGGGGGTGAAACCACCATCCAAAGTAAGGCATGTCAAGGGGCGATTTGGCAGTTTCACCCACATGAACAATACTTTTTAACCAATCCACCTGGAAAAGCTTTCTCGTAACGAGAAATGAAAAATACAATTTTCTCAATTAAAAAAAGAAAAGTAAGGGGTGAGCGTTCGGGGGTAAGTGCCCCGGCCAATATTCTTTTTCGGGAAAATCCAAAGACACGTCGTACTTCCTTCGTGTTCACCCACAACGTATATTTCTTTCAGATTTTTATACTTGAATTTGAACACTTTTTGCATAAACGTAATCATATTTAGGGGTAGCTCACCCATTAATTTTTTTTTATTGAGAAAATTATATTTTTTATTTCTCGTTACGAGAAAGTTTTTCCAGGTAGATTGGTTAAAAATAATATGTTATAGTAGACTAAAAACTAAGCGACACGTATTTTTTTTATCTGCCATTAAACACTTTAAGGGTGAAAACACCATCCAAAGTAAGGCTCCTGAGGAGTGGCTCACCCCTCAATTTTTTTTTTATTGAGAAAATTGTATTTTTAATTTCTCGTTATGAGAAAGCTTTTCCAGGTGGATTGGATAAAAAATATTACATTCTTGTGGGTGAAACTGCCAAATCGCCCCTTGACATGCCTTACTTTAGATGGTGGTCTCACCCCCTTAAAGCGTTTAATGGCAGATAAAAAAAATACGTATCGCTTAGTTTTTAGTCTACTATAACATATTATAAAACAAATCAAATCAGAGAGATCGACCTGGGATACCTTCCTCGTAAGAGCGTCTAAAGGCGCCCGACGTTTGGTCCAATATTGCCTGCACGGTCAGACGAATTTCGCCCATATGTCGAAATGGCTCCGTGTTCGAAGGGTTAACTAAAAGACGTCCAAAAGCGCTCCTAAATGTGAGGTATCAGTAAGGGCCTAAGATACTTGAAATCATTTGAAGGTAATTGTTCAGATCGTTTTTGTCTTATCAAGCATTAATGGTAGCTGATATCTTTTCGGAATATACTCACACGCGAGGGTGCACGCACCTAAGCACCCAACCCACATACCCACACACACACACACAATGAAGAAATTCTACTCCTCGAATATGATCGCAGCGCATTACTACCTCTCTTCAAGGAAGTTTCAATTAACCCGAAGACAATGCATCGTATCGAGGAATTCCAATGTCTACCCCGAACCCAAAGGGCAGCCTTAGGGGTGAATCGTAATTGTATGCATCGTGCCAACAATTAGTCAAATGGCTTCCGAGTTAGCCCCCGTTTACTATTCCTGCCACATGCTCTCGAGGGTCATCCTGAAATCCAATAGACCAATTGTCCAGTTGAGGAATTCTATTCTTGCGATATTGACAATTAAACATTGCATTGATAAATGAAGACGGACCTTCCGATCTCTTTGACGAACTGAATATTCCCAGATAGAGAAAGCGATGGAAAATTTCCATGAAATTTGCCTCATGAAAGATCATGAAACGAGTCACGAGAGTGTTGCTTATGAGT